CCACCACTGCGATGCGAGCGTGGACTCGGCGCAGCACACGCTGGAATACTGCCCGGCGTGGGCGCGGCCGCGCTGCGACCTCATCGTGGAAATCGGATGGGACCTCTCGCCGCGGATGATCCTGAAGCATTGTTGGTAAGTGAGAGAAGGAAGGCCGTCACCCTCTTCTGCGAGCAAGTTATGCTTCGAAAAGAGGCCGCGGAGAGGGTGAGAGTGCGGTACTTTCACCCTCAGAGGATTGATCGGAGAGGGAGCGGCAGAGGCCGTGGACGCGCTTCGGCGAGGCGCGCTAGGTCCGCCGCACCCCCGGTGGGTGCAAACTTAAGCGCTGGCAGCTCAGCGCCCCGGGGCCGCAAAACAGCCCAGTAGGGGAACCGGACTGCCTAGCACGGCGGCTCCGGCGACGAGACGCGGTGTGACGTAGCTGCAGATCGCTCATCTATCGCACATCGCTATATCGTATTATAATAAATAAATTAGTACAGATCACGTATCAGACAGAAGGTGTAAGATTTATACTCATAATATATATCTACAAATTCTGCTAAATACGGCTTAATAAAGGACAATGTTTTCATGATTATCACAGTAAAGGAAACTACAAATAATAATGGTAAATATAACCAAGAAATTTTGAGAAAGAATTTCGTTTAAGAAGATGTTTACATTCTTTTGTGTCGTTCCCAAAAATGTTGGGGAACACTGATCAGGTCCATTCCAGTGCTCCCGCTCAATTAAATTGTAATGTTAAATTGTAGGTAACATATAATGTTGTCTCATTTTAATGGCGGATGTGACTAATTAAAATCATAACAAAATTGGAATATTTTCTATTATTTTATATTCGCTTATTGTACACCGGAAGAACACATTAATATAGTAACATAATTATATAATAATCTTTGACACATTGTTATCTGACAATAATATTAAGAGAATAATTAGCGTTTTATAATAATAAAAAAATGTAACATGTGTAGAATAATGCAGTAACATTTCGATACCTAGCACCATTGACTACTGCTTTATTATAATTGAAATGTTCGGAAGTATAAGTAACCTTCATTACGCTGCAATAATTTTGCATAAACTAGAAATGCAAGTAAGAAGAAGGAAACAAAACGACTGCAGACTATGGAACCAGATAATCACAGTCGGAGAAAGCTCTACTTCCATTTTCATTATTACTTTAATCCTCTTTTTCTCAGAAGTCCTTGTCTGCAATCACCATACACTTGTATATGTCTTATCTGTAGCGGCACGCGAGCAGGACAATTCAAATCCTGTTATTGTTATATAAACTATATAAATTAAGCTATATAAATTAAAGTGTAATTTTATTTAAGCCTAGAATTGAAATTAATTAAAAGTAAATTTGGACGAAATTTCCTGACAGATCGTCATTTTATATAGGAATAGGTAATACGAAATGTCGGTAGGTTTAGTGTTAACATGTCAATGTAAAAAGAAGGTAATCGTAGGAGCATTACGAAGCATTGATTGAAAACAAAAACAGTAAAATAACTTCACAACACTTCACAGATTTTCCATCTTTCAAACAATTAAAATCTCTTTACCGGGTTCCTACTTTTAGATCATTCGCCTCCTTAATAAATATAAAGTTGTTAGAGTAAAATGTAATTAGTACGTGTTAATTCAGTGCATACCCAAGTATGACTATTAAGTGCATAATACACTGTAATAAAAAGAAAGTTAATAGTTCTGTTACGTCTCAACCTTCCTGTTTTCCCTATAATCTGAGTTGTGACTTGTGAATTTACGTGACACTGCCGTCGTCCGGTAATAGTTGCTATCGACTGCTTCCACCGGTAGAATCGCGATGAGATTGAGCAAAAATGAGACGAGTTAATGGAAAGGGTTCATGCACGATGCATACATGTAAGTGCCTCGGACTCAATGACTTATGTATACTATGCAGAAGTAAGTTACCAAACAAAAGCTCATCCCGCAGTCCGACGACGAAAAAAGGGCTAGGACTATAAATCGCTGAAGAAGAACTGATGAACGCCATGGAAAGGATTGACTCAAGGAAAGAAGATAGCGTCATCTGGTGACCCTGATATACTACGAAGGTCCTAGCGGAGCGACCCAGACAGCACTATCCAATAAAATCAATAGATCTGGAAATTTTCCGGCCATATGGAAGGTGGCGAGGGTGGTCTACTAGCGGAACCGGGAAAGAATCCGTTACTCCCATCATCCTACAGATCCATTAGTATCTTACAAGCATTGAGCAAGATGTGGAAACACACCATTAAGATGCCCATCGAAAGGAACAGGGAGAGACGTATCTAGAGACTCCTACCATGTGGAACAGTTTGGATATAGAGAAAAAAGGAGCACGATTGAGACGTCCTTGGAAGAGTTTTGTTGGATTGCGGATTCATGTAGGAAACGGAGCCTGATGTGCGTTCTTGTCGCCCAGGACGTCTGAAACGCCTTCTACACTTTAAGATGAAAGAAGATTATATAAGTAATCGATGCATTTTATTACATGACTACCTTCGGACAGAAGAATTTTATCTTATTGCGACGACAGTAACGACAAACAGCGACAAGACATCGATGATAGGATTTGGGAAGCCACGAAGGTCATCACAGAATGGTGCGCGGACATGGGCCCTCATCGGGCCCAAGGTAATACTGAAATTATACTGTTGACAGGGAAGCGTGTCCCGAGAATGGTGAAATAGTTTGACGAAAAAAACAAACCAAAAGCACAGTGAAATATTCTGATGTTTCATTGGACAACGCTAGGACGTATTCTCTTCATTCCGAGCAGGTGTGCGGCAAGGCAGAGGCGTTCGTTAGCGTCATTAGAAACCTGTTGTCGAACGTAAACGGTCCCAACAGCTCCATTAGGATGCTGTACTATGGGTAGTATGGATATGGGAGTCGGTGGTACTTTACGCTGCACCAATATGGGCATCTGCGCTGAGCTATCAAGAAAATAGCTAACATAAAGTGACACAAGCGATCCTATGCGTGGTGACCGGCAGTATGCCCATACCTATTAAGGCCAGGCTGCGGGAGAAAAAATAACCATTTAAGGGGGGGGGGGGTAAGGTTAATTCGTACAAAAAAAGGCATGCTTTTGTGAATTTTTTCTGACGATACAGTTAAAATTTCTTTTTTAAAACCAATAGCATATTAAAATGTGCCATACGAGGAATATTGTGTAAAATTTTCACGGAGAAATATTAAAAAATACGGCAATGGCAGCAATTATTCGGACATGTCTCTGAAAAAAGTATAATTGCGGTTCCCCTCAGAACTTGGTACAGGATTATCAGAAATCAAAAAGTTAAAGTTCATTCGTTAGACAATAGTTTTCTCCAGCTAACGCTGCGAAGGTTTTTTCGAAATTTCAATCTTTCACTTTTTTGGAACACTTTGAACGGAAAAACGCGATTTTGTGCGAAAATTTGCGGCTTTTTTTAAAAATTTTTAAAAATTTTTAAACCTTACCCCCCCCCCCCCCT